CCTCCATCCAAAGCCCTTGAGCCCCTGCCCACACCTGGAGCCCCCGCCTCCATCCCAAGCCCCAGAGCCCCTGCCCACACCCAAAGCCCCTGACTCCATCCAAAGCCCCTGACCCCCTGCCCGCACCCAGAGCTTCTGCCTCCATCCCAAGCCCCATAGCCCCTGAGCCCCTGCCCGCACCCAAAGCCCCTGCCCCCCCCAGCTCCCCACCATCCTGCCACCCAGGGGAAGGCCAGCCCCAGTAGCCACCATGCCCGTCCCCTTGCCGTGTCCCCGAAGCAGGACACCTCACCCACACCCCAGTTTGGGGCACAGAGTCCCCAGGTGAAACAGGGGCCGGCATGGTTTTTTAACGGGGAAGGGGTGGGGGAGTGATGTTCTCCCCCGGGAGCAGTGGGGGGGCAGGGCTGCCCCACCACCCCCAACAGCTTCCAGCTCCCAGCTGAGGTGGCAACTACTTGGGTTTCCACAAATGTCACTGCAAAAATAAAGTTTTAACTCAACCAAGCGACGTTTCTCCTTCCCTGGGAGAGCCACAGAGCGAGCGATCACTTGGCAGCCAAGGGGTTATTGCCAAGGGGGCCCTTCTGCTTCCCCAAAAGAAGGGCTGGCAGGCTGGGGCACCCACAGACACAGCCGGTGGCACCGTTTCCATCCAATCCCAGCACCGGGACATCCAGATGGAGAAACCTTCCCACTTCCAGAGGGAGCCAGGAGGCTGCAGCCGCGTCCCCTCCGAGCTGGGAGGAGAAGCCACGTCAGGAGGCGAGAGCCAGCCCCGGGGGCTGCGGGGCCACCAGCCCTCTCGCCCACCCACCACCGGGACCCTCCGCTTGCCCATTTGCTGCCCGTTCCTGCCTCCTCTCACCGAGCTGCCGGCAGGCTCGGAGCTGCCGGGAACGCCAAAGCAGGCAGGGACTGCCAGCCCTGCCCCGAGAAGTTTTCCAGCCTGAAGTTCAGGGGAGTCACCGAGGAGCGGGGCAGCTCGGGAGGGAATGAAAAGCAGGGATTTATCCCGCTGATCAGGCCTCTCCCTCTTCAACAGCCCAACTCTCCACGCCAGGGGGTCTCCAAGGACCCCACAACCGCTCCCTTCATTCTGCCAGCGGTATAAAAGGGGCATTTCTGAGCACGGTGGCACAGAGGGGACAAGGACACGCGGGCAGAGCCCTCCCTTTGGCAGCGGAAAGGGCAGCTTTCGTCTAACTGGGTGTCCTGAGACAGCCCCCCTACCCCTGTGTGTGAAGAGGTGGTGGGACATCCCCCCCCCATCTCCCAAATGCTGGGGACCCCCTCTCCGGTCAGGGCTCTGGCTGGTCTCCCCAAACTGTTGCTCTTCCCCAGGGCTGGGGACGTTCCGTGGGTCCCCTCAGTGCCACGCGTCCCCTCCCTCACCC